TCTTAATCTTTTTTTAAAATCTGGAACCTCTCCCCATTCTCCTTTTGCTTTTGTAATCGTTCCTTTATGTTCTTCATGCTTGTTTAGCTTATCAATAAGAACTATAACCAAAGGCATTTAACATTCAGTAGCATTAATAGAAGTTCGTACCATTTGGTGCTCTCGTTGACCTTCCTTACCAATGGGTGAAGGTGAGGTTCCGAATACACGATTGTGCACCTTAGATGCGGAAATGAAACAGTATAAATACACTGCATTTCCGTTTGGGAAAAGAGATAGAAGAAAGGGTAATACAGTCTTTTCATATTAGTTATAGACTAGTGATTACTATTGCTAAGCATTAAAAATGCTGGATAAAAAGTAAATATCAGTTTAAACAGTGGCTACCTCACGCCATTTCTACTCGGATTATAGTATATTTCATTTCGACAGACAGTTAAAATTTAAACTAAAAACCATATCAATGCGCTCGAGAAAATCATTGCCGATCCTAGTTCTCAAAATGACACTGTTTTCTCTTTGGAACTTTCGAAAATTGAAAATGAGCAAATGTCAAGAAATTTTGCTAAGCTCCATGAAGGTAGAGTACCTAGTACCTACAAATATTTGAGTTGGTGGTATTATGAAAGTAAGTTAATTACGGGAAAAAAATAATATATGTTCGTTCTCAATTATTTGTACCTTTCGTTTAAATTTTATGCTAGAGGGGAAATAAGATTTGATATAATGATTGCATTCCTAAGGAACTTTATCTATGATATAATTTGGATATCGGAAAATGATGGCACCAGAATTTTTAGTTATCACTAATTCTTGAGATACGCCGAACAAATAAATACTAATATGATGTTTGATCGAGTTGTTATATGGTGTTAAGCCACCAAACAATCGAGAGTGTACAGTTTTAGAAAGAAGCACAGAGCATAACGTTAATAAACTTTTATATAGATATTAATACATGCATCATACAGATGCAGTGCAAATCACATAAAATTATAGAAGTGGAACATTTTGCAGGCATTGAACTCGTGATAGCCTTATCTAAGATCTCAAGGGAATCCAATCCATTGGCACACTTAGCTGATACTTCATGTTGTTGCTTTATGCTATTCATGTCATCTTGAAGTTTCTCCATCTTTTTTTGTATCTCCTCCGTTATAACAGTAATTTCTTGTTTGTCAAGTCTAGGTGTGAAGGCGATTGATCCTTTGATCCTTCCTTTACGATTTTAATCCCACCTGTAAAAATAATTGAAAATATTGAAATTAATAGGTATATCAACACATAAAGTAATAAATGTTAAGACCAAACCTATAAAGAAATATGTGAAAGTACTGTAAGGCTAAAGATAACCATCTCGACTCATGACTATTCAGTTCGAGAAAAATATCAAGTAGAGCTTGTCCCAAGGATGAACGGCTCAGCTTATATGTAGCTGTTGTTGTTCCCCCAAATCCAAACATCTGATTCTAATATTAAGAGGACCTCAAAGAAATCAATAGAGGGATTGATTTTGTTTGTATACAGGATTGAGCGGGATTATAATAACATTAAGGATGGAAGTGGTGATGACAGAAATATCAGGTATCTTGAAGGAGGTTGGAGAAACAAGTATCCCATAAATGATACACGAGTTTAACGGCGAAAACGGTAGTAAACATTACAATCATATCCTAAATCAGTATAGAACTACACTTCAAAAGTTTTAGTTAATTAAGAGTATGGTCAGAGCGAAGGAAGGTTGTGTTGACTGAGGTATGGTCCCAACTTCCGATGATTTGCCAGGATTAGTAATATAACCTTAATGCCCAACCAAAATGGAAGAGCAAAAACAATTACTTGAAAGCAATTAATCCAAAGAAATACAGAAAAATTAAGTACCATATTTGTGGGTAGGTCATGCGCAATAAATACAAAATTAGGAAGAAAACAGGTAAACTTAAATAAGCTAGGCGTAAATACAAACATGAGGAAGTAAACCTTAAAACTTAAATAAGCTAGACTCAGTTATAGACTTACTTTACATTATTTTGAAGGGATAATTAATAAGAGGGGAGGTACTTTTGCAACATATTGTATATACAATGGTACCAACATAATTAAGTTCTGGTCTGCTATTTGGTGTAGAAAGTTGTCCAATATTAACAGTCTACCAGCAACTCCTTTCAGTAGTCCGTCACAAAATGGTCGGGCTCTCAAATGTTTATTCAGAAGAAGACTTCAAGACGGAAGGTTAGTACTTATATGAAACTCTTAAGTTAAATAAATTCTCTTTTAAACAGCTAATCCTGAAAACTATTAACAGTATAGTAGTAGACATTTTCAACTATTTTATATTTCACTCACTCCTAAAACAAAGGTTTGTAGCCTCTCTTCTCTAAATCAACCCATCTGATTGGTTCATGTATTAGCCAGCGATTACCACTATAAACTAAAAATATGTTCTGTCAAGAATTCAAGATACTACTCCAGCAGAATAGATATTCTTAATAGCTTTTACTATTAAAGTAATATCTTTTTCTCCCTCTTCTAAACATCCTCTTGTATATAAGAAAGATAGAAAAATTTTGAGAATATTTGTGGACTTCTAAGCATTCAATAATGTTCCTCGAGAAAATATAAGAAAATATAATTGCTTCTACCAACCTATCAGTATGCATCTAATATACTATAGATAGAATAGTGTATTAGCTCTATCTATTTCAAAGTTTCATCGAAAATGAGTACGTCGTATGCATCAAAGTGTCAACTTTCACTTGATTTCAAAGGCAACAACTTAAATGGTATCTCGAAAGGTGAACTCTTGATGAATTTCCTTCCCTAAACATGGCTACAGAGGTTATTTACATGCTATTCTTGAATGTTTATAATTCCTCTTTATGGAAACTTTCTTGTCTAAAATCCAGAATGCTTCAGTAAAGTACAAGTTAAGAATTGAATCATGATTTAGCCCTTTTCTTTCTATAAAGAATTCTCAAAAAAGGAGTCAACCTGTCTAAACTTCTCTACAAAAGTCTTCCCCTCGCTGCTGGTCTTTAAACTTGCAACTGCTATCTAAGTCTAAGACAAGAAATTTTTCTTACTCTTAAGTTTGATCTTTCGCTAGGAGCCTTAGCAAGAATGGTTGGAACCGGTCTGACCTATGAGACTACTCGAAAGGAGGCTTCCTACCAGCACTAGAGTGGGATAAGTAAACCTTGCCTTAGGTCAATCCCTTCCCCTACTCGGGCAAGCNGTCAGAAGGTATTATTCAAAAGATGCTTCAAAAGAATCTAACACTAATGGTCCATGGGTGCTTAAAAAGCATTTAAGATCATCTCTGCATTAATAACAAACCTAAAATTTGCCAGTTTCTTTTATCCTTTGATATGTATGCAATGTAGAAATATTAGCAACAAATATCTCGCTTATCCTAAAGATGGTGCTGACATGTTGAATTACCTAAGGTTCATTTCTTTATCATGACATAATTGACTTTCTCATCCAAAGAACAAAAGATGGAGTTGCACCCTGGTGTTCTTCAGCTATCTCTATCCAGCAATCACAACATCAACATAATGCATGAAATGAGCAACTCACGACAACAAAGTTTAAAGCTTGTTGAAACTTTTCTCTTTAACCTTGCAATACAAATAAAACATATTGATCGCGGGCTTTCTGAATATTAATACTCCCTCCGTTTCAATTTATGTGAACTCATTTGACTGGGCACGGAGTTTAAGGAAAGACAGAAGACTTTTGATCTTGTGGTCTAAAATGAGGCACATATATTATGTGTGGCTATAAATCTTTGTGTAAAGGTAAATTGTTTCCAAATAAGGAAATGAGTCATTCTTTTTGGCACGGACTAAAAAGGAAATAGGTTCACATAAATTGAAACGGAGGGAGTAGTTCTTTTCATACAGCAGAACCGTAATACTACTTATTCTCAATCTCTGCCTCAGGCTCACTCACTCTTTCTGTTTTCTTTGTTATATCCAAATGCAACTAAATTGTACTGTGATTTTAGCAAAGAATTCCAAAAAGAAACTATAAAAGCAATTGGGAAAGACTTTATCCCTCTCAATAATCTTGGAATTCAAAGAAAAAGCAGCTCTTGGAGTTTGATCAACATAGATTTAAGTTTTTTCATAATATCCAGGCATAAAAGACTCTACAAATTGCAGTAATTATTAAAAATTAATTGAACCAAAAAATACTTCAACATAAACTATTAATAAACCCATCTTAATCTCAGTAGAAACGTTTATGCAACCTCTAAAAAAGTCTTGCATATAAATTAACTCTAACTGTAATTGAACCTTATATAAGTTAGCAAATATAAGTAATGATGCAGTAACTTAAATTAGAAAAAAGAGAATATTGTGCCAATAGAAAGATACAGTAAAATATATTTGGTGCTCGAATAATAAAGGCGGTGTTTCAACATTATAAATATGCACAACACTCTAAAACAACATATAAGAACATAGGATTTATATTATTCTCCAGGATAAAACCAAATGTATTTTGGAATTGCGCAAAAATAGAAGATACAAAGATAACTATTAAAGCTAGATTAGATTGTCTAAATCAACTGATTAAATAAGTTTCTATAGTATGCCAAAACGTTAGGCAACAACAAAAACTCTTATAGTCTTCTTTAGTAACAGTGATTTATAAGGTTCATTCTTGACCTTGCAATATGAGCTACCCACAATATTGTCAAGTAGTTGCCTCGCAATCCTTGCTTTTTTATTTCCATATGAACTTCAGTAAAATCCTATGTGCATTTGAAGACCTTTCATTCATTCACTCCATCATTAAAATGAGAGTAGAATGACAGAATGCACAAAAATTCAATTTCGAGCCTTAGGTTAAAATCACCTTAACAAAAATACAAACAAAAAAAAAACAGAGAAAGCAGGGATCCATGATTAATTACCAGTTTGCTCCACCGTAACTTAACTTTCATCACCGAGAACCTCTTCTTATTTCTCTTAATCTTCTTGAAATTCAACAGCAACTCACTTTACCACCCAATTGACGAAGTTGTCGAAGCATTCAAAGGCTTAGATATCACCGCCAACTCTATTTTCATAAACTGATAATTCAGTTCCTTAAAATAAAAATATAAGATATTCCTCTAGCTAATTGCGGAAATAGACCTGGAGAAGAAGATACTAGCTTTAATTTGTGGTTAGACGCTGCGGAGACTTTGGGCGGCAGAGAAATTCAACCGAAACTCCAATTTCTCTTGTCAAAAAAATTGACACAACATCAAGAACCGATGAATTTAAGTGATGAATACAAAAGTGGTACAAATCGACAAAGAAAACAGACTGAAACTTGTATAACTGAAGGAAGAAAAATTTAGAAAGGCGAAAAGTGAGAAAATACATAAAGGCAACATCTGTAGTGGTGACTGCTAGGTGGGATAGGTTAAATTGACCTTAGAATCCATATTCTAATCAACATTCAGTAACAGGTCATAATAGACAATTCAATATACAGTTGGACTAAAATGACCAAATAGCCCTTCGTCGGCAAGCAGGGATGTCAACGGTCTCGTGCTTGCTTTAGGTCTTTTCTATATAGTAGAATATTATTTGCTTCTGATCAAGACCATCTCCAACCCTTACCTTTTTTCAAAATATTATTTGCTTCTAATTAAGACTGTCTCCAACCCTTACATTCATTTTCTCCTTCAAAATAGACTCTATTTTCTCCTTCAAAATAGAGTAAACTCCAAAATAAAGTAAAGTTATTCCAACTATTACTTCATTTTTTACTCTAAAAAGAATATTTTATTTTATATTCTTCTATCTTCAATATTATATTATTATCTTTTATTTAAATTTTATTTTTTTATTTCTATTAAATAAATTCTATCTTTTTTTCTTTTTTTACATATTCATCAAATATAATTTAATATAAAATTGTTTTATACCATAAAATTTTAAATAACTTAATTTATAAGAAAATATTATAGACTCAACAACAACAACAACAACAACCCAGTATAATCCCACTTAGTGGGGTCTGGGGAGGGTAGTGNAATGAAATATTACATAAATATTCAACTTCCACCTCCAGTATGCTTCAATAAATGATCAATTAATGCATTACGAAATGCAAAATGAGCATCTTTGTCCTTAATTCTTTTGTGTCGAGCTAAAAATTGTTCAAATCGGTGATTTTAATTTATTACCGTTTCTACCGTTGGAAGTGGACATTCCCAATCATCTTGAATTGGTGCATTAAGATCACGCTAATCCTCGACCATTCATGTATTTTCATTTAATGTATTTTTAATTTTTACTTTTTACTTTTAGCAACATCTAATATTTTATATTTGCACCTTTTAATTTTAGCAACATCTAATATTTTATATTTGCATCATTTATTTTTTGAGATGATTATATATCTTTTGTGGAATTATAACTTATAATAAAAATAAACTTATAATTTTACATAAAAATAATAAATGCACGAAAATTAATTTATCAAAATTTTATGCCAAACTTAAGATGTAAAATTAACTTTATAAAGATATTACATAAACATAATTAGGTGTATATAATGAAATAAATTAAAAGAGTTAAATAATAAAAATATTAATAAAGTAAGGATGAATAGTGTAACTCCAAATTTGGAGTAACACTATTCATCCCCATTTGGGGGGGGGGGGGGAAAAANGGGGGGGGGCAAAAATTAAGGACCATTGGAGCCACGTTTTAGCAAAAAATGATTGTATTATGGAAAAATAGGGAGGGTTGGAGATGACCTAAGTTCTTGCAATTTTAGTTACCTTTTTTTCAACTAGCACTATTAATTCTACTGACAAATATTTAAATGCGCCATTAAAACAACTAGAACTAAGATTTCTTTTGATTCTCCAATTTCAGCAATAGCACACTAAAACGTAAAAGTTAAAATAAGAGAATCTACGCAACATTTAAAAGTTTAGTAGAAAAAAAAAGAGTCCATCAATGACGAAAATAAACCACAATTGGGATAAAAAGGCAATTGGGCAAGAAGACTCAGAAATTATTATTTGGTTAGGATATGTGAAAACATGTGATATTTTCGTTAATTTTAAATAACTCATTGGAAGTTCCATCTAGTTGAATCGAATCAATTTTTATAAACTTAAAAGATCATTTATGTTCAAGGTAATACGATAAGGATTATAATAAACTTGCCCATCAGATATAAAGAATCATTTGAGTTAAAACTCACACTTAAACCTCCAATTACTTTCTTCGTTTAATCACCTGAACCAAATGGATGAGGCCCGCAATTCTTCCATGACGGGCCTCATTCTCTCTCTATATTGTGCCCCAAAAGATAGTTGACAGTGTGGCCATTTAGCATAAAAAATTGCACGGGTAACCTATACCCATTTTTTAAAATTTTCTTAACTTGTATTCACTTTTTAAACAATTTCAGCCCCTTTCTCCTCCTCCTCCTCCTCCTCCTCCTTCTTCTTTTGTTGGTGCTGCTATGAAACTTCAGTTCATGGGATGATTGCCATAAGTATGTTTATCAGATTATTTAAAAATAAATTATAAATAATTACATAAGTTAGTAGACAATAATTTGTGAATATTTCCACGTAATTCTGTTCTTTTCACGTTTATTGTTTCCAAAATTTATGATTTAGATACTGTTGGTAATCTGATTATTTTATAGTAGTAATACGTTATGAAAGAATAAGGTGATTATTTATCTAGTATGTTAGAAAACTTTTTCAAAAACTTCAGCTTATATAGTGCTGAAGTTTTTACAAATGAACTAAATAACTTCATCATCTTCTGCTGAAGTTTTTAAAAAAGCTTTATGACAAAACTAATGAATCCAGGACAAAAAAACTTCAGCATATATAGTGCTGAAGTTTTTACAAATGAACTAAATAACTTGAGCAGATAACTAAATAACTTCAGCATCTTCTACTGAAGTTTTTGAAAAAGTTTTTCCAGGACAAAAAAACTTCAGCTTATTTAGTGCTGAAGTTTTTACAAATGAACTAAATAACTTCAACATCTTCTGCTGAAGTTTTTGAAAAAGCTTTATGACAAAACTAATGAATCCAGAACAAAAAAACTTCAGCTATTTTAGTGTTGAAGTTTTTATAATTGAACTAAATAACTTCAGCATCTTATCCAGGACAAAAAAACTTCAGCGTATTCCCTTTGCTACTTCACGCCCGTCTACTAGAATGCTGAAGTTTTTTGCATGATTGTCTTTGCTACTTCAGCCCCGTATGCTGAAGTTACACGAAAAAGTGGGTACGCTTGCATTTTTTTTTACAAAGCGGACACAAGTTAAAACGTGNATGACGGGCCTCATTCTCCCTCTATATTATGGCCCAAAAGATAGTTGACAGTGTGGCCATTTAGCCCATGTAGCCCGTTCTAATTTGCGGCACTGAAATTTTGTTAGGCAAGTTACATTTGACAATGAGGAATTTTCATAAACTACTACGGCTTCGAGCCTAATAACTATAATTTATCAAATTATAATTTGTAGCTACTGCTTAAATATTACTAACTTGTATCACTTGTATTCAAATGCGCGACGAATACAACCTGTGTAAACTATATTCAAACGCGCAACGAATGGTAATCGACTAGCATCTCCTCGTATTTTTTAAATCTTCAATTATAATGGCAATTTCTACAACCAATTCATGCTCTTCTTGGCTACTCTCCATAATGTAAGCTTGTTGTGCTTTACAAGGTTCAATTAGCTTATTCTCTTGAGTCTCCAAGTGGTGAATAGTTGCCTCTTATATATTTATCTGCAGTGGTTTCTTATCATATAGTTCCATGAAATACTTTAACATATCTTTGATCTCCTTCAGGTCAGCTTCCCAGGGTTCTTTGTTCCTATTATCCTCACAAGAAAAAATAGAACAATCATAGTAAGGGGTTGGGGGACGATAAGAAGGTGCACATAACTAGCTCTTGGGAATATTTTGATAATTTTGCCATGGGTGATTTTCTTCACAATATGCATAAGGAGAATTAAAAATAGAATTACCAACATCAAAACTCTCATAATTCCAAGATGCCATGTTTTTAAAATAAACAAGTAAAACAAAAAAAATCAAATACAAAAATAAAAATAAAAGTTCACACTTGAAACCTAGCAATATGTACACCTACAGCTACACCGTTAGTTCTCCGGCAACAACACCAAAATTTGATTACACCCAACTATGCCTTATAAAAAGGACTTAGCGGTCATTGCAAATATAATCCGGTTTACAAGTCTGGAGTCAAATCCCATAGAGAAATAAGATGTAGCTACAGTTGTTCAATATCACTAAGAAACACAAGTCCAAACAATTTCCTAATTATAAAGAGTATAATATTTATTTTTATCTAATTAACTAACAAATACTAAAAATCTATAAACTATCAATTAACAATGATAAGGATTGGAGAGAAGATTACGGAGGTCTAAAGTTATAATTTCTCCTATTGTCGGAATCCTTTTCGCTACGTCTTCTATAAATTTGCCTAAGTCTACTCTACCGATCATGAGCACTCTGACTGTTATAACTCTCTACCGAGTATTTACCACAATTTACTAGCCATATTTTCCCGAATTACGGTAGTTGGTATTAAGTACGGTTCACTCTCATCGCACCAAAGTTTTGTTATCCCTAATCCTACCTTTAAACCCTTCGTATTGATCCCTCATATACGTTAGGAGAGATGTTGTTCAATAACTACCTAATTATGTACTTTCTCCCCAGTAATACATACTAAATAGGTACAGTCGATTGAGAACTCTTCAACCAACCACAATATAAATGTAGTTGAACAATTAGAGAAATTACTACGACAAAACTATATTAACGTAACAGGAAAATCATCCTCCAATAGGTTCCATCAAAACTCTAGGTAACAAATTAGTTATTCATAATAGTATGCATAGCTACAATACTAGAATTCATAACCAATAATGAAAATAGGACGAAGGAAGTGAAAAACTCGTAGAAGAATTCTCCACCTTGCTCCTAGTGTGTTCTTGCCTCCTTAGGTCGAATCCCCGGTCTCTACGGTGGCTCCGTGCTCTCCCTAGGTCTTAAGTTGTATCCAAACTCGATCTCCCTCTCGTTTGTTTAAAGTATGTCAAAAGTGACGTTTTTAGGTCTATTTATATATGTAAGAGAAGACCTAAACGTGTAGGCCAAGTCCTAGTCAAACCAAGAGATGAATTAAGTCTTCAAAACTCGGACTGTACCTGGCCCTGGGCCTAGCGTCGCCAGCCTCAGCCTGGCCTTTGTCTGGCCTCGTCAGGCTAAAGCCTAGTTGAGCTGGCCTTTGCCTGGCCTCTCTTTTTCATTGTTCTCGAGCATACTTTCAAAGTTTAAGTATCCCTTTTTCTCTACTTTCATCTCCAATTCACCTACACATAAAATAGACTCCATTATGCGCAAATA